CAGAGTGCAGCTGGGAAAGCAGCTGGCTAAGAACGGCGAGCCCGAGCTTGGTGGCAGCACTGCAGTGACCCCTCATGATTCTTCCACCAGTGGGTTGACCAACTTTACCAAACAGCAGGCCAGAACTGAATAAACACAGCTGCAAACCCAGCTGTGGCTGGACCTGCTGTGCTATAGTCTGCCCTGCATGGTCCTGCCCCTCCCTGCCCAGCGCACCCTCTGGTTTGGGGCTTGGACCGCAAGCCCTTTGCAGGCAGCTGGTCTGGAATTAACCACCCTGTCCTCTCCAGCCCATTCTTCCTGTTTTCCAATCACCTGACGTGCTTCAGTGCAGCTGTCTTCTCTGACCTGTGTTCACATCGTTCATATCCCAAGTTGAAAAATAAAGATGATACAAAGGAGAAAAAAAAAAAAGAAGAGTTAAATCTCTCCCACAGTCACACAGCCAGTGTTTACTTGCAGACCTAGAAGGAAAGCACAAGGTCCTGACTCAGGGTCTAGCATGATCGACAGAGCAGGCTGATGTGTCCCCTAAATCTCCTCAGGTCCTCTGGTGTCACCTGTGAGCATGTCCAAGGATGAGGAAAAGCTTCCCTGACATCTGGAGGAGATGAATATTTCTATTTCGATTCCTACAGTTCTATATTTCACCCTAAACATCCAAACTTAATCTGGTTTTCAGCAAGTCCATTATGAATTCCTGCCACATCTGGGACATTACTCCTGGAGAAAGTGGTGAAATGGAGTTTCTTAAGAAGCAAAGTGTGCCGGGCATGGTGGCACATGCCTGTAATCCCAGCACTGGGGAGGCTGAGGCAGGAGGATTGCAAGTCTGAGCCCAGCCTGAGCAACTGAGTGAACCAGCAAGAACTTGTCTCAAAATAAAAACATTTAAAAAGGGAAAGTAGCTCAGCATGAAGGCCCTGGATTCAGTCCCTAGAACTGCCTCACCCACCCCAACACACAAAGCATGTCAGGTTTGGTGGTGCAAGCCTTGTAATCCCAACTGCTCCAGAGGCTGGAGCAGGAGGATCATCAATTCAAGGCCAGCCTGGGTAACTTAGCAAAAGTCTCTATCAAAATTGGAAAAAAAAAAAAATTAAGAGGTCTAGAGCTGGGTGTGTTGGTGCATGCCTGTAATCCCAGCACTCAGGAGGCTGAGGCAGGAGAATTCTATGCAAGGTGTTTGAGACCAGCCTGGGCTACAAAGTGAGCTCAAGGCCAGCCTGAACTGCACAGGGAGACCCTGTCTCAAAAAGCCGCCCCTCAAAAAAAGGTCTAGATAGTGTTGCTCTGTGGTAGAGCATTTGTCTAGCATGGACAGAAGCCTAGATTCAATCCACAGTGCCACAAAAAAGAAATGGAAGGAAAAGAGGAGAAAGAAAAAGAGGAAGAAAGAAAGAAAAGCAGAGGACCACTGCCACCCTGATATGGTTAATTTTGAGGACCTCCTTGTTCCACCTGGCTCCTTTTGCACGGCTCTTTGGTCAGAGGGCCTTTAATTCAGTGTCTGACTGGTTTAAAGTATGATACTTTCCTCCCAATGTGAAGAGTTGGGAGCACATTACATACAGTCTCTCGCTAGCTACTAAGTGTTTCCTAGCAAATATTATTGCATCTTTTTCTTTCATCTTATTTTAGTTCCTGTTTCTAAAATAAGACTATGTGGTGATGGGTTTTCTTCAGATACACGTTATCAGAGTGTAATCACAAGGCTTCGCCAGCCTCCTAAACCCATGTTCAGTCAGCGCCGCAGGTGGGCCAGAAGTGTTAAAAAAAAAACACTGAGTAAAGCCGTGACCAAAGGAAAAAAGAGAAAGGAGAAAAAGAAATCTCTCACTACAATCTATTTTCTGTATCAGCAGTCAGTATGACATTTTAAAACCAAATCAGAGTGGTGGCTCTTGCCTGTAATCTCACTATTATGGAGGCTGATGCAGGAGGATTGCTGCAAGTTTGAGGCCAGCCTGGGCTACATAGTGAGTTCAAGGCCAGCCTGAACACAGCAAGACCTTGTCGCAAAAAAACCCAAAATAAATAAACAAACAAGAAAGTAAACAAATGAATAAAGCCAAATAGGACCAGGTCAGCTTCTTGCTTCAGAGGCTCCTGGCTTCCACCACATTTAGAGTGGAACTGGAAAGTCCTTCCGGGAGTCCTTACTCAGCATCCCCCGCCCCCCTCAAGGATGCGCTTCCCCCCAGGTACGGCTGCAGCCTCATTTTCGTGGAGCTCTGCTCAAGTGTTGCCTCCGAAAGGCCTCTCTGGTCACCCTCATTCTGGCCTCTCCTGACTCTGCGGCCTTTGTAGTTGACGTCCTATTGCTTGTTTACGCAGTGTGAGTTCAGAGGCGGGGCGGCATCCACAAAGCCCCGGATGTGCCATAGATAATCACAACATATTTAGAAGTAAGTAAATGGTGGCTGTCTTGCTATAAACCAGACGTTGTGTTCCTCTGAACTAACTCTCTACATTGCACATTTATTCGAAGTGAATCCATGCTAGCTTTTAGAGATTACTGCTTTAAAACCACCAAAGTGGATGAAACACTTTTCTAAAATTTTGTTCAAGATGGAAAAATTCAGTAGTGTGCAATTTCTAGAATTACCTCCTAACCGCCACACCTTTTTTTTTCTAGCACTGGAAACTGAACTCTGGGCTTCACATTCTTGGCAATCACTCAAGCAGCAAGCTATATCCCCAGGCTTTTTGAATTTTTATTTTGAGACAGGGTCTCAGTAAGTTGCCCAGGTTGGCCCTGAGGTTGTGATCCTTCTGCCTCAGCCTCCTGAGTAACTAGGATTACTACAGATGTGCACCCAGCCCTCTACATCTTTTTTTTTATTTTTTTGACACAGGGCCTCCCTATATATATACAGGCATGCACCACCACCTCTGGCCTTCCACACCTTTTGAGTCATGTACCTGCACAACTTTCCTACATCTTGCCCAGTCTCACTCAATCACACATACGTCTGGTCCCTCCTGAGGTCCTGGGACAGGTTGGAGAGTTGCTGGAGCCTTTGAGGGTATCTGATCCATTGTATTCTCTCCTGGTCACCTGGGCAGTGGGCTGTAGCACAGGCAGGGGAGATTGGAGCACTGCTTCATACAGCCATGCAGAGTCTGACCTCTCCAGCTGAGAGAGGGCAGGCCAGAGCAGAGCCTCAGGGAGGCCAGAGGACAGAGGAGCGGAACTAGGGGGGCAGGTGGGAGCACCACTGAGCCACGCTTTCTCACCTGTGTTTGGCTCCTGGGCTGTGGGAAGGTTCCTGCTGCCATATGGGACTGGATTTTGGAAAATTAATAATGAATTATTCGGTGCTGCTTAAATTCTCAATGTTGTCAGCATAAAATGGAGACCTGTGCTGGGATTAATATCGATGGACATTTATTTAGAAATTAGGATACTCACTTACGTGTCTTTGATGTGCCAGGCACTGTGCTACATACAGGTGCACATTGGATGGAGACCACTACAAAGTGGCTCTGGGCAGGATCTGTGTTAACCAGCTGGCTTCTCATGTTCACTTGGGAGTCTGCCCGAGACCTAGGCCCCGTGTCTGCAGATGGCAGCCTGTAATGGCGGGTGAAGCCCTGGCACCTCAAAGGACAAGACAAGGCCATGGCTAAGGACACCTGGCTCCAACCTCACCGAGCTAGATAAAGGCTGTAACTGCAGGCATCTCACTCCTGCGGTGAAGGCCTTCCTGGAGACAACATAGTTCTCCTAAATTAACATAAAGTATTACTTGAAAAAGTCCTTAAAAGGATTCCCAAGGTCCTGTGCAGATTCCTGCATTGTCTTCAGTATTCCCCCTCTTTGTTCCCCCTATAATACATAATAAATACAGGCCTCCTAGGGAAGTTCTTTGTCTTAGCTCCCAGAATCTCGAATTCCATGTGAGGGTCTGGAACCTCCTAGAGCTCTGCAATAGCAGCAATCACACCATTTGTCACTTTTATTTAAGCCTTCGCCATCCACTTGTTTGTGAGACTGTGGCCCTGATCATCAGTCTGCAATAACTAGGGGATAATATCAACACGATACATGTTAATCCTCACAGTGGCACACTGTGAAGGATTCCTGTCAACATCTACTGTTCGGGGACAAAGACACCGAGGCTGGACTATTCAAAATGCAATCCCTGTCCATTATGAGGTCCAGACCAAACAGGAGAAGCCTTTAAGCAAGGTAAGATAGCAATATATTTCCGTGTTTGAAAGAAAGCATGAAACAACAAGAAAAGAAACTAGACTTAAGCCCTCTATGCTTTTTGGACCTCGTCATCAGCCTAAATGATAAAATTCAGGGATCAAAAAGTTGGGACAGGGGCTGGGGATTTAGCTCAGCGGCAAAGCGTCTGCCTGGCAAGCGCAAGGTCGTGAGTTCGGTTCCCGGTACCGGAGAAAAACCAAAAAAAAAAAAAAAAAAAAAAAAAAAGTTGGGACAGCCGGGTGTGGTGGCGCATGCCTGTCATCCCAGCACTTGGGAGGCTGAGGCACGAGGATCCTTGTGAGTTCGAGACCAGCCTGAGCTACAAAGTGAGCTCAAGGCCAGCCTGAACTGCACAGTGAGACCCTGCCTCAAAAAGACAAACGAAACAAAACAAAACAAAACAAAACAAAAAGTTGGGACAGAGTTCAGCAGGTCAGGAAATAGTGTTTAGTGTCACAAGTTTCCAGTGTAGGTTTTAAAAAATGTATATCTGTATTTTATAGATAACTATATATATTAACTATATATATTTAGTTATCTGTATTCCTGTTCCCATTTATTCTGACAAATTTTAACTCTGTCACCAAATGCGTACATTTTTTGTTTTGATAACAAGTTCTCACTTCTCCCTGTGGCTACTCATGACTGGCCACTTCTTCTTTCTGCTAAATTAAAGGACTTTATTGCTCTGTTTACAAATGTGCTCATCTAACTTAAGAGGCTGACATCACCCAGTTATTCTGAAGAGACACTAAGAATCAGGCAGATAAAAGTCTTTACATTCACTTTTGAAGGAGAGTTTATTCATTCCCAATGGTTTTTACATCTTCCTTTAGAAACCTCATTCCAGACACAAGTGAATACGTTACATCTTTGAAAGCAGAAAGAGCTTGGTTAATTAAAACAATTTACACTGACATAGCATTAGGTCTGGGGCTAATTCCAAGGGGCCAAAAACTGCACCTTTCTGGGCCAACCCGAGACCTTATTATCAGGTTATCAGGGTAATAATATTTTACATGTCATATAATCTGCTTTTTTACACATTTATTTACCACAAATGTTCAACTTCACCTTTAAAAGGCAAGTTAGTCTTTCTTTCTTTTTCTCTTTTTCTTTCTCTTTTTCTTTTCCAGGACTGGAGATTGCACCCAGGGGAATCAGCAAGTGCTCTACCACTGAGCTGTATCCCCAGCCCTGGCAAATCAGTCTTTAATTCCTAACCCATTGGCTAGCTTTGATGGAACAGTTTCAGAAGAAAAATAAAACCATGTAGATTTTTTCCCTCAATAACCGCTTAGCCAAATGGATGCTGCCAATATAAGTTTATTTTTTTGTTTGTTTGTTTGGGTTTTTTTGGTGCCGGAAATCGGACTCAGGACCTTGCATTTGCCAGGCAGGCGCTTGTGCCACTGAGCTAGATCCCCAGCCCAAAGCCAATACAAGTTTAAACCATTTGCAGTTTATAAAGTATGACTTCTTTTGTTCTCGTCAAAACAATACACAGAAAATACACAGGAGGTCACGTGTAACAGGCATCTGAACTGGGAATATATTACAGGTAGCTGGCATGCAAGTATTTTACATGTTTAAATGCAAAGAAAAAAATGCTGCTTATTCATTTCCTGGAAAAAATGAACTTAACAGAGTTAAGATAAAGTTTAATTAAAATATAAATATTATTTTCCATGTATATAGTTTTTCCCCCTTAAAAACCAAGTGGCAAGGATTAGAATTTTAGGTCAGAATAATTTCTTTCTTAACTAAAGATTGTCACTGGCAACATTTGGTACTAAAATAAAATTCCCTTTAAAAGCTTATGTTCTGTGCATCTCATTTCACCATAGGGCAGTTCCTGTCTACCCGCATTTAAGGTTTCTGTCCCGGGTGGCTGCTCAGGGCGGCGTGGCTCGCTGCTCTCTGCCAGCAGTTTGGCTGTGCTCAAAAACGCGCATGCGCACGAATTTACAGAGAGAATTTACGGAGAACCTGCTGTGCTAGCTCAGCATCTCTCTGCATTTCCACCTCTTTCCCCACTGATTCTAGGGAGAAAAATAGAATATATTTTAAAATATCCTGTCTGGTTTCCCATCCCCCCTCAACTTTTTTTTTTTTTTTTCATTTTTCAGAGCTAAGGACCCAGCCTGCGCCTGTGAGGCCAGCTCTGTCCTGAGCGACATCCCAGCCCTAACCCATCCTTTCTGAGAAACCCAGAGCCAAAGACAACAAAGCTGCTGGGAGCACTGACGCCCGTGCCAGAGGCAGTGCGAACGACTCGGAATCACAGGCTGCATGTTTGGGAGGTGGGAGGGGCTGGGAGACCATGCACTCCACTCACAGAGGAGAGCAAGACCGGGCGGACGAGGGCCTGCCCAAAGCCTCAGACAGCTGGCATCCTCCTCATCAGCGTCGTTTTCCAAAAGTATCACCTGGCGGCGAATGGAGCATAATTCTTGTGGGATCGGAGGCCAACCAAGTCCAAGCAATATTTATTAAGCACCATGGACAAGGCACCTTACTAGCTGGTACTACAGATACGAAGATTGCCGAGACACAGTCCCTGCCTCCAACGGTTGAGGAAAGGCCGCAGGCCATGCTTCCATCCCTTCCTTCCTTAGCAGACATAATGCCGGCCAGGGCTGAGGTTGCTGGTGAGGGTCTCTGCTGCCCTGGCCTGCTGGTCATGGCAGGTGCCACTCTCTCCCTTCTCTCTCAGCTAGCACCTGTCACACCGCCGCTGTGCAGGCATGACGATTCTTGGAGCGCTGGGACACTCATCTTTCCTAGGCCTCCAGGGATACCTTAGGACTTTGCCTCCCTCACTGCAGGGGCGACAGAAGGTAGCAGCACCCCAGAGCCTCCTCTCAACTCAGCCTCCGCTTGCTTCCTCCTGTGTGCAGCCCTAAGCCCTCTGCAAGGATTCTGGTCAAGGTACTGTCCACACAGCGTAGCAGAACACCCCATCCTGTACACCCTGGCACGTAACACCCACTGTCCACCCCTCTCTCCCCTCTGGGGTGTGAGTGAAATAATCCTCGTCTCTCCATCACACCGTGCTTCAACTCCCCCTACTCCACAAGATGTGGAAGATGTCACTGTTGCTCAGAATAAAGCGGATTCGGGGGCAGTGGAACACACCGAGGAGTTGAGAATAACAAGGATCTCCCACTTTTGCTCAGTGCTGTCTAGCTTATATAGCGCTGTCATCCAATAATCTGATTACAGTCTCACCACAGCTCTCTGAGGTAGTTAGTGAAGATATTATTCCCATTTACAGCTGAGGAACTCAGGCCTGTGACAGCAGGCAGCTTACCAAAGCCACCAGGCCAGGAAAGCGCGGAGTCAAGCGTCCAGGTCTCCTGACCCCCAACCCAGGGCTTGCCCCCCGGAGAGTCTATAATTGGAGGCAACTGAATGAACTGTCCACGATCGTATCCCTGCTAAGCGCTGGGGATGGGATTAGGGTCCGAGGGATCAGTGTCTCCATTTGTCGGTGTGGTGCCCTTTGCCACCCCCACTAGCTGAGCCAGTGTCCTCAGAAGGACTGCCGTGGGTGAGGCACCGCAGGACGCCTGGTGAGCTGGCTACTCTCGCCTACCTCGGTCTTCAGCCCCGTCCTTTACCTTCTTGCAAGTCCTACACTGGCCTAAGTCTTGCCACACGTCCTGCGATTAGAGCAGTGCTCAGGGTCAGCTTCCAAACTGAAAATGTGTGAAGCTGTCTCCTGGCTGTTTAATCACTGCCCTTACGAGCATTTGGAAAAGAGGCAGGGGTGTGGAGCTCAGGAAACCAATGTAAATCTTTACTCCCATCCTCCCTCCTCCTCAGCCAGCCTGCTCTCTTCACTGGGCTCCACAGCCACGCAGCAAAACCCATCCGGTCTCGACCGGGGACCAAGAACACAGTGCATGTATCCTTGGGGCTCTGGGTGCTTTCCTCCGGCCAGGTGGACCCAGGAGGCTGACCACGAGCTGTCCCTCCGCTGGGCCCGGCTAGGTGCTGCCAGCACCCCCACACCTTTCCTGTGTGTCTCGGTCCTTTAGGCTGGGCAGGGCAGAGGTGAGGATCAATAGGGCGGTGGGGGGCCCACCAGGGACGGCAGCCCAGGCCATCCCCTCTTGGTTCTCTGCCCACTGAAGGGGAGACAGCGCTCACCACGTCATCAGAGAAAGTGGGGAAGTGGGGAAGGAAGCTCAGGATCGTGACTTCCAACCGGACTCCAGAACCCCGCGCAGGCCACGCACCACAGAAACCTGCGCTCGCAGCCTCCTGTCCTCTGCCCACGAACGCCACAGCCACCGAATCAAACTCTAGAGGGCATCGACTTTGCAAAACGCCACTCCACCCACCCCTAAACCCCCAAGCACATAGAAAATCCATCAAGCCAGAATTCTGTCCCTCTGTCTCCTCTGAAGTACCTAGGAGAGGGCTGAGCACACCCAGGCGAGAGGAAGAATCTGCGGATGCTTTTGTAACTTTCTCGAGACTGTGTTAATCTGAGATCTCGCGGATGCTTCACAAAGGTTTGAGGTTTCGAGCATCAAAACTGTTCTCAAGGCAGTGATGGGGGGACAGTGGCTTCCCTCATGCTGGGGGATGGGGGAACTGGAAGCGCTCTTTGGGTTGCCGTGCCAGGCTTCCCTCAAGGAACGGGCTGCTCTCTGGGATTTAACAGGAGACCGTTGTTATTGGAAGATGAGGCCGGGCATATGGCTCAGCAGCATGAGTGCCTGCCTGGCAAGCATGAGCCAAAAGGTGGGTGAACTGCGTGGGCCCCTCTAGGCCCCAAGAGGGGTGAGGAAGAAGGCTGGGAGGGAGGTCTCCTTTCACTCGGTGGTCCAGAGGGAGCCAGCTGCCTCAAGGTAGTACTTGCTGATCTTTATGTACGAAGTATTTGTCTACAGCATGCCCCAGAAGTGGCAGGTGGAGGCTGAGTCGTGCTGATGAGGGTGAAATGCTACACACTTTAGGCAGATGGGAAAATTTTATGCTGGAACAATGAGATGACTTCTAGCTTCTAATTTATTTCCTTTTTTTTTTTTTTTTTTTGGTACCGGGAATCGAACTTAGGACCTTGCACTTGCCAGGCAGGCGCTTGTGCCGCTGAGCTATATCCCTGGCTAATTTATTTCCTAAGAGTTGTTCTCCATGCAGCTGTGAGATATGGGGGCTGGGGACAAACTACAGACTCCAGGGAGTCGCTGCTAGTCTGCAGTGACCCGACAGAGGGCAGGGAAAGAGGACCTGGGAGAGAACATCTCCCTTCAATCAAGTGTCCAGATGTAGCCAGATGCCTACTTGGGCATCTGACAGTACACACGCACACAGACACACAGACACAGGTATTTACATCATGCCGGCCAAAGACGACGCCAGGGGTTGACTCATGCTCGTAAGGATGAGTGCTTCCACAGAAAGCTTCAGGCAGATAGGGAATCCAGGGCTGCATCATCCTACGATTCCTAGATTTCAGAGATTTATCTTCCACATACTGTATGCTGGGGCAGGCGTGGGTAACAAGTCCAGGGGAGTGATTTTACCGCACTACTCTACAGCGGGGAGGGGTGGATATGGGGACACACTCTCTCTGCCATCGCTTGTCCAGGTATTGCCAAATGTCCCAACAAACTACTGAGCAAAACATATACACATAAAGATATTTACATTCTGCCCCACGCTACTCATCAGGAGTGAGCTTCCTCTCACTTGCTTTGGGCAGATGGGAGATGAAGGCATAATTAAATGATTTGATAGGTTCCCCAAAATGTAAGTTTATCTTCTAATAGTCATCTTCAATATGCAAACATGCATGGAAAGTCACCTGTCAGGCTACTTTACAAACACAGGTAATAACAAGACACAGTGATTAGTAATAAATATTTGATCTCATAAACTCTACTATATATGACCCAACTATTTTATAAGCTAAAAACAGTGCTGTAGGTTTACAACATCCTGGTCCTGTTCACTTGCGTTAACACTATCAACCATTGCTTATGTGGATGAAATAGCCATGATCCAATGCTGAAGTATTTTCCTTGCTTTTTGCCAAGCCTTGTCCAGGAAGAGTGAGTGGGAAGGGAAAGGCAGAGCTGAGCCCATCAGGAACTCAGCACTCAAGGACCTCGGTAACAAATGCAGGAGAATAGGGAAGAAAGAGATGCAGGGGAAACAACATCCCACTGGCAACAAGGCAACCCAAAGGGATGGACTTAAAAGCTGTATCCCTTTCACCCAGCACCCAGATGACTGCGGATAAACCAGCAATCTAGAGCGGGCAAACATCCCAACTTGTAACACATCAGTAATTTCACCAGGTATGAATACTCCTACTGCAGAGCCGTGACACAGCACTTGTAGGTGGTATTTCCACCTGCAGACACAACAGATGTGGGTATCTCAAAACATGGGAAGCAGTAAAAGGGAATATTCATGAGTATTTATTACTATTGTCTTCAGTATCAGTTTGTGTGTGTGTGTATGTGTGGGTACCAGCAATCGAACTCAGGACCTTGCACTTGCGAGGCAGATGCTGTGCCACTGAGCTATAGCCTCAGCCTCCAATACCAGTTTTTAATTTCAAGTGCGTATCATTCAATTTTTAGTAAAGGCCGTGTTGGGCTGGGGATGCAGCCTGCTGGTAGGGTGCTTGTCTCGCATGTGTGAGGTCTTGGCTCACATCCCCCCACGCCACCAAAAAAAAAAAACAAAACAAGTTGTGTTGAGCAACTTAGTGCGCAAACTTCTGAAAACCAAGCCACCAGCAGTTGAGTCTGACAGAAGACAAAGTCAACTAAAAAAAAAATCACCAAACAGTATTTATGTCTTTTAAAGACTGACGAGAAAATGTGCTGGTGAACTAAACAATTTGGGGTTTCAAAATGTCAGAATGTTCTGTTGACTGTGTCCTCAAGAATGTACAAAATTCTCAAGAAAATGAGCTACTGGAAGGACCCACCCTCAAGGCACACATCTGAGTACTACTCACGGTACAAGTAAATGTCCGCTTTACAGAGGGCTCTGCCAAAGGCTCCATGGGCCGCGCTTCCTCTCGCCCCTCGCTGCTACCAAGTCACTCAGGACGCTTGGGGACTACGTCTCTTCTGGACTGTGCCCCCTCTGAGGCGCCAGTCACCTCCTTAGCTCTGGGTGTCCCTGGCACAAGGGATGTCATCTTTAGCAGGCTCAGAAGAGAGGGGAAGGGACAGAAGAGTTAAAATGAAGAGGGGGGAAGAGCAGAGGGAGGGGAGCCCAGGCAGGGAGAGCACTATGGGGACAGCAGCTGGCCTCAGCAGGATCCAGGTCCCCGCGACTGCCTGGAGCCCGTGCTGTGTGCTGCTTCCTTCCTTCTCCCTGCGTGCCGCATGTTCCGCGCAAAGGCCCATGCGCGCCTCGGTGTAATCACCTCGGTCCCATCTCCACAGGCTCCATCTCTGAGATGACAAACATCTGGACAAGTGACAATTCATATTTCCCTTGATGTCTGTAAACGTCTGGATGGATCATGTGGACAAAAATCTACACAAGGAACCCAAAGGCCCGCTTTTCATCCTGTAACCTTGTCACACTAACCATAAAGCCATACAAGACAACCCCGCTGATACGTCATCAGCTGGGCATGTGCATTTGGGGATTTTTCTACAACTAGATAGAGGATTTGTGCTCAATGGGTCACGTTTTCTCACCCAGAGGAAGATTGGCAATGCTAACTTCTCACGTGATAAGCAGAACACTTTGCGTATATTGAGCCTAACTCGAAGCTTTGCGTGTAAACAGAGGTAGGCCTCTATGTAATCAGTTAAAACATGGATTCTCAACTGAACGCCTTTCAGTGATTAAAAAAAAGTTCATTAAGAAAGCAAGGGTGACCCAGTATGAAGTGGTTAAAATCACAGTCACGGTGTCACTCTAACATCTGCATCAGTCCATTTGGGCAGGTGCCAGAGGAGCCCGGGAGCAAGAAGAACGTTGTACACACGGCAGAATCCTGGTAAGTAAGTACATAGCGGTGAAACACAGCGGTGAAATCATTAGTCATGTGGTTAACGGAAATGAACAGCCGCTGATGGAATGGTCCCTCGGAGAAGGAGAGGAGTTTGTATCTGCTTTCAAATGGCTCCGTGGTGAAATTTCACCTCTTCCAGTGGATGTTTACCTTCGATCTCCTTCAACCCTTTTCTTACGAACTACAAGTGTGAGAGAGAGAGGTTTAAAAAGACAAAGTGAAGGAAGGCACAGCCTTTAAATTCCAAACAATATTAATTCTACAAAAGAGCAATCCCACACACCTGGAGATGCAAATGATCCTAAACTTCATTATTCAACAAATCATGGCAATAAGTAGAAATGGTAACATAAACCCAGTGTCTGGAGGAATTCAGTTACATAAGGGATGCCTGGTAGCTGGGGCCTTGGGCGTGAGAACCTTCCCATCTCTGTGGAACAGGAAGTCGTCAGCCCTCAGCACATCTTCCTCCTGAGCGTAGTCACCCTGGCTTTCACGAACTGCGGCCACTAGTTCTCGTAGTGGCGGGACACCTGCAGACAGGCCAGTGTCTAAACCTCACCGACACAAAAACTCCTAAGTGTCAGCCTCCACAGACGTGACTCACATGGCCAGCCGACTCAGAGTGCCAGGCTCCCTTCAGCTGTCGAAGAGGGAGTCAGGCTGCCTGGCCCCATCTCTGCCACCTCCTGGTCTTGATCTCCTGCCTCCCCGCCTGCCTGCCCGGGAACTTTTCTGGCGGCCCTTCTGGGGTTCAGCGGAGGTCCTGCCCCGGCTCCCTCTCTACACTGCCCGGCTGCGGGAAACTAGAAGAAGCTGCTGCGCGCAGTCAGTGTCCTCAGGTGCAGGGCTGCCCTTCTAGCTCCTGCGAGCCCCTTGTTTTGCCTGTTTGGATGGGAACCGGCTGAGCTTTGCCTGCGTACCCTCTGAGTGCTGCCTCCAGCCTTCCGGGGGCCGTGCCCTGGTGCTTGCGGTAAGCCCAGCTGGGGCCTGCCAGCCCCCTGAAGCCACACAGCTCGGAGCCCTGCACTGGCCGGGCACGTCTGGGCAGGACACGGGCGCTGACCTTTACCCCCTCCCCCTTCCGCTTCCACCCTGCGGGCCCGTACCATGCTGGGAGGAGGAGCGGCTGCCCGTTCCCTGCCCGAGGTTGGGCGCGCTGTCCCTGTCCCAGGCTGGGGACTGACGTGGCTACTGGCTGGCTCCTGGCTGGCTGCCAAGCAGGCTGCTCTCCATGCCCTTTTGCTTTGCTGCCCCGGGTGGCTGTGAAGTCCCGAGATGGAGCCCCAGTTTTCTGTGCTGCAGTTGATCAGGACGCGCCCCACCTCCTCCTAACAAAGAGCTCAGCTCCTCAGCCAAACATGGCAGCACAGCAGACTTGAGGAAAACGCTACTCTGAACTTCACCTTTGTTACCTAGCACTGTTAGTTTACCTCCCCTAACGCCCCGAAGCATCAGACATCCTCAGACTTAAAGCTAAGCACTAAAAGGCACAGGCAGGTCAGAGGGAGTAGAGGAGACGGCTGTGTGCACGGCTGTGTCTTCTCCAGTGCAGACAGCAGAGCCCAGCTTAGGCCTAAGAAGCAAGGAAAGGAGACGCAAAGGCACAAAGGACGCCAAGCAAGCACGGAGGGCCGAGTAGGAGACAGAACACCGTGTTGCGACTTCACCCCCCGGACGCATGAGGCCTCCCACGACCACCGAACCTCCCGCCTCTGGGAAGATGACGGACACCAAGGCCTGCGCAATGGTGTGGGCCGCTGGACGTGGACCAGACCAGGAGCGGCGCTCCCCGTCGTCACCGGCACGCAGGGTGGACACTCCAAGGTTGTAGTTAGACGTCCCCCAAGCCTCGAGCGCCCACAGGCGGGGACTCGGAGAGGTGACAGATCATGGGTGCGTGACGCTGGGCCGTGGGTGTGTGGCACCGGATTAGTCCATCGGTGGGTTTAGAGCTGGGCGCGCCGCTGGGAGGTAAGCCTGGTGGGAGGAGGTGGTCGCCGCCGGAGTGCCCTGGCAGGGTCCACCTCTCCCTCCTGGTCTCTCTCGGCTTCCCGCCTGCCGGAGAGCAACTTCCTCCGCCACGCCGCCCTGCCCTGAAGCCCCGACATGGACTGAACCGCTACACTCTGAGCCGAACCAAGCCTTTCCTCCTTTGCGCTGTGAGTGCCGGGTCAGTGCCCCAGCAACAGGAAGACAACGGACAGGGACATTACCCAGGTCGTTATTCTTGGTGATGGCAGCTGCCACCCTGGTGCGCGGCCCCTGCTTGGTGAACTGGTACCCAAACTTGAGGATCCTCGAGTTCTCCTCCAGCATCTGCGCAATCTCCATCTCCACGGCTGTGCCCAGCTGCTGCCGCTGGGGAGGCACACGAGCAGGGGCAACCGGGAAGGAAGAGGAAACCGTTACCGGCACGGGAAACGCACGCAGCGATGTGCACAGCATGGAAGGGTCATTCCAGAGGTTTCCTCTGAAACCCGCACCTTGACTCCAGAAGCAAGATCCAGACAGACAGCTGACTGCAGGCGTCTGAAACCGAAAAAACTGGCACGCGCCTGGAATCCGAGCACTGAGGAAGGCTGAGGCAGGAGGATTGAAAGTTTGAGGCCAGCCTGGGCAATTCAGCAAGACACTGCCTCAAAATTAGAAAAATAAAAAAAGCCTGCGGGTGCGGCTCAGTGGCGAGCGCCCCTGAGTTCAAGCTCCAGTTAGAAACAAAGAAAGGTGATCACACAGGTCAAGCTAAGTGACTAATACCTGATATTTCCAAGTTATCCAGCATCGGTTTTAAACACTGGGCTTCTTTTCCCTTTCTCTTTTAAACAGTGCAGCTGTCTTAATCAATCACCATGTGGGTTGATAAGAGGTTTAAAAGATTGGTAAAATCCTGCTTGGCGAGGGTAGGGAAGCAGTGACTGTCGTGCACTGTTTGCGGAGGTAAGTGCGGACTTAGCCTTTGAGGGCGAGTCAGGTATTCTCAGAACTTGAGGCAGGCTCCCCCCAGGGCCCAGCTAGGACCTGCCCTCAGGCCAGGTGTAGAAGCTCCCTGGAGACCTGGGGGGGAAAGGGGGGGCGGAGGGGGGTTCGGTCCTCAGGGCTCCGAGTTGCAAGCTGGAGCCACAGGATAGTGCGAGCCACCTGGCCGAACAGGTGCAGCCCTCACCGCATCGGAGAGCTGGGCAGCAATTTGTAAGGAGGTAAACGCTTATTACCAACGTGAAAGCTCAATGGTAAAGGAACAAGAAACACACTTCCAGAACGTGCGCCGTCACCACCACCAATTACATGACAAGCGCGACCACGGGGGCTTAGAGATTGCGAAGCCGCAGAAGGCTGCACGGAGGCCAGGCGCGTCAGGGGCGGGACGCACTGCTTTGGAGCACTGAAGCCAGGGCCTTGTTAGGACTTTTAAAAAGCTGCGCCCTGTGCCCAGGTGGCACCAGAAGGAGCAGCTGCCGTGGCAGAGGTGGTGGCTGAGTGAGACTGCTGTGGCCCGCAGCTTGCAGCCAGGAGTCTTTCAGGGCTCTGATGCCTTTCCGTGGGCTTTGAGCACTGCGGTGCCAGGCTCAGGGGTGCTGAGGACAGGAGCCCCGGGCAGGGCCACCCGCCCTCTCCTGGGTCCCCGGCAGGGCTACCCCACTTTCTCCTGCTACCCACAGTCCTGGGGAGAGGCCAGAGCCAGGCAGGCCCAGTGCGTGGCGGAGATTCACACGAAAGGGAAGATGACGGCGACTGAGCAGGCCAGCGGGACACCTCCGCCCAGGACACCTGAGCGCAGGGTTACGGCCACCGGCCCGGCCACTCCCGTCCGCACGCCTGGCAGCCTGGCGCCGAGTGCCTGCCCTCACCTGGTTGTCGATCTTGATCTCTGTCAAGCTGTCGTTTTCCCTCAGCGCCTCCACCAGGGCCAGGATCCCCGAGCCCGTGATGAAGTTGGATTCTATGTTCAGGCTTTTCAAAGTCTTGTTCACTTTCAGCATATCTGCAAAAGCCTGAAGATGCAAACACAGGCAGACGTTAGGGCTCCTAAAGACAGGCTCAGTGAATTTCTCACCCCTAAAATGTAGATTTTATTTTATAGCACTCAGAGGAAACTTTCGTTAAGTCACATTTTCACCTCCAAGTGAAAAAGGAGCTTTAAAAGGCTGCCGTGAAAGGCTGAGTGTGGTGGTGCACACCTGTAATCCCAGAACTCAGGAGGCTGAGGCAAGAGAATCTCTGTTGAGTTCAAGGCCAGCCTGGACTATTAGTGAGATCCTTGATCAAAAACAAAAACAAACCCTACAATGGAAAGAGTTTAATCTAGTTTAAATTTATACATTTTGTAGGCCTGCAAATTTAAAAAGATACTGGGCCGGGCATGGTGGTACACGCCTGTGATCCCAGCACTTGGGAGGCTGAGGCAGGAGGATCCTTGCAAGTTAGAGATCAGCCTGAGCTACAAAGTGAGCTCAAGGCCAGCCTGAACTGCACAATGAGACCCTGTCTTAAAAAGACAAAAATAATAATAAAAAAAAAGATACTGGCATAGGATTCTCGACTCTTTAAATGTGAACACATTAAAAAAACCCTGCTATTGTATATTATCACTGTTTTTTGATAAAAGACATTTTAATATTAGGAAAAAAGTAGAAAGGGTATAACCTCAGAATTATTTTTTTCCTTTTACTATGAATGGATTTTTAAAAAACAACCCTTCCCAGTGCCTAGCCTTTGGGCACTACTGGTTTAGTATGTTCACATCAGCTGTTTGATAGTTTGTCTACATGTCCCCCCAAACCTCACATGGGCATAGGACTTTTTCAGAGGTGGCTGAATCCAGAATGTGCAGTGCTGGGATTAAGGGTGCTAATATTAAGGGTGGGTGATTGCTGGATCAGTCCACTGACTGGACTGGCACCGCCCTGATCCGAGCAGATAAGGGACAGAAAGAGGCTTGTCTTGCTCCCCTTGTTGCTTCTGCTGTCTTCCGCCGCCATGAACAGCTGCGCCCCTACCATGTGCCACCCACCCTGCCTTGGAGCCAGTTGACTATGGACTGAAACCTCCACACACTGTGAGCTGAATAAACCTTTCTACCTTTACCTTTGGGTGTTGGATATTTTGTCTCAGCAACGAGAGAAAAATAACTAAGACAAGCTGTAAGTCAGAAACCCTTAAGGTCGTCTGGAATGAAGACACCGCTCAGAACGTGGAAGCACTGGAGACTCCAGTTTGAGACAACAGACTGCAGACCTACCCTGCCTGTCCATCTCCCACCACCATGAAGAAAAGGTGAAAGTTTTCAGGCTGCCGTGGGGGTGCACACCTGTGATCCCAGCACTTAGGGAGACCCACCCAGGAGGAGCATAAGTTCAAGTCCCACCTGGGCAACATCGCAAGAGTCTGTCATCAAAATAAGAAGGGGCTGGGTATAGCTCAGTGGGGTTCATCTCCAACACCCCCCCCCCCCCCAGAAATGAAATCTTACAGTGCAACAAAACAAAATAGAACACCACTGTCTGTTGTTTTGGGAATCTCCATGCTGTTTCCCACAGTGGCTGTGACGATTTTCCGTCCCACCTACAGTGTACAAGTTCCTCTTTCCCCATACCCTCACCAGCATTAGTCCTTTTTTTTTTTTCTGGACAAAGCCAGGGTCATTTTGTGCCAGGCGAGTGTGCACCTCCAGCCATCTCTGACCGCAGCTCTTCTAACGGCTGAGCGGGGTCTCCAGCAGCTTTGGTTTGCTGTTTCCCTTTTCATATACTTGCCGATTGTTATTGTCTTCTCTTAAGAAATGTCCATTCAGGCCATTTGCTCAATTTTTTTTTTTTTGCCCTTGAATTTTTAAAAACATATTCTAGAGGTCAATCCCTGTCAGATGAAGGGTTTTAGACCCCCCTGTCCCTCAAGGGTTGGGTGGTCAAGGAAATGCAGTGCACACACTTAGTGGAATATCATTCACCCGTAAATAAGAACAGAACCCTGTCAGCTGAGGTGGCACAGAGGAGCCCGCGGGACGGTAGGCCACGTGAAGAAAGCCGGGTGGGGACAGGCAAATGGCACAAGTGCTCGCCCGTACCTGGAGGTTAAAGAACTTGATCTTAGAGATGGGACGGCAGAGTGAGGTCACCAGAGACGGGCAGGGCTGGGAGGTAGAGGGGTCTGTTAACGGGCACAAGATTAGTTGGGAGAAAGGAGTTCCTGTGTTCTGTTACTACAGTCGATAAATTACTGTGCATTTCAAAACAGAGAAGAGGATTAGAGCTACCCACACAGATGACAAAAGCTTGAGGTGGTGACTATGCTGATTACCCTGATTCTATCATTACATACTGTGTATATCAAAGTATCAAGTATCACGCAGTGCCACAGAAATAAGTACAATTATTCCGCATTCTGCATATTTTAGGAAGGCCATTATTATTATTTTGTTTTTGCCTTTTTGAAACAGGTGCTCACTATGCAGCTCAGGCTGGCCTTGAGCTCACTTTGTAGCCCAGGCTGGTCTCAAACTCGCAATGATCCTCCTGCCTCAGCCTCCTGAGTGCTGGGATTACAGGCATGCACCACCATGCCCGGTTGAAGGCCATTATCTTAAGGAACTGCTGAAACACAGAAAATGGGAAAACTGGTGGAAGAAACAGCACCAAAATGTGGTTGTCTGAGATACCAGAGCGAGTCCCAACTGAGGCAGCTCATCAAAGAACTCCATGGGGAGAGAGCGGGGAGACACGATGGCTGGACCAGCTGGGGACACCAGTACCCCTGGAGATGGAAGCAGCGAGAGACTCAGGCACCCCAGGCCTTCACAGGGAACAGGAGAGGGGTGCCCCGGGAATGAGGGACAGTGACATGTGCCCTCCCAGGGACACAGGAGAAATACAACTCCTGCTGGATGTCAGATACGCCGAGTTCATGTCCCCAAAATGGAAGAATGAACGCCAAGCAACAACAGAGGTTACGAGTAGGCAAGATCTGTTGAGACACAGCTCCTGAGAGACAGGAGGGGTCCCCAAAATGGGGTGCCACCAAGACAATTTCTCCAAGAACGTTTTATAGAGCAAAATCACGAGGTGGGTACATGTGGGTCAAACTATACTCAACCAATAAGATTATAGGTACAGCTGGCTACTAGTATTGCTCCAATAGGGAATCAGGGCACATACCAAGGGTACATAGAAAAAACAAAGAGCTTTTTAGGAAGAGCTGGGTTCAGATGCTCTGGTCACCCACCTGGGTGGCTGATGCCTATCTAGACTTTGTTGGACCAGGTGATACCAATTATAGCATAATCTCAAGCTACAGTACTGCTTATCCCTCAGGGAGGTATGTAGGCCTGGTCATCCCATCCTTATCTTGAAGCCTGGTCTACTTCAGATGTGCCGCCAGCAACAGTTGTGACATGCTCTCATCTGCACTGACTCCCCGAGGGTCTAGCTCTGTCTGACTGTCTATTAATTTCTACCTAACTTAGCTGTCTATAATAGCAGGTCACAGAGCCCAGCCTTCCCAACTGTAGCAATGATGACAGTGAATGCTGGGGCTCACGTTGCTGCCGGCCCCTCAGACCACCACAGGGAAGGCAGCTGGAAAGAGGACTCCTTCCTATTTCCCTTCCTCCTTCACCACCCACCCATCCACCCACCCATCCATCCATCCATCCACCAATCTATCTACTCATCCACCCATCTACCCATCCACCCTCCACCTATCCATCCATCCATCCATCCATCCATCCATCCAACCACCCATTCATCCATCTATCCACCCACCCATCCACCCACCCACCCATCCATTCATCCATCCATCCATCTATGCAACAACCCACCCATCTACCCATCCACCCTCCACCTATCCATCCATCCATCCATCCATCCATCCACCCACCCATTCATCCATCTACCCACCCACCCATCCATCTACCCATCCACCCTCCACCTATCCATCCATCCATCCATCCATCCATCCACCCACCCATCCATCCATCTACCCTCCACCCACCCACCCATCCATCCATCCACCCACCCATCTACCCATCCACCCTCCACCTATCCATCCATCAATCCACCCATCTACCCATTCATCCATCCATCCACCCTCCACCCACCCATGCACCCACACATCCACCCACCCATCTATCCATCCAGCAGGTTCCCCCATGCTCCAGAGTAGAGGAGACAGAAATCCCTGTCTTTGGGAGCTTATATTTGGGCAGGAGGGCAGAGTCAAGGAGATGATAATTAAATTAGCCAGCTGGTCAGGTGTGACAACTGCAGGACAACAAAGAGCCTACTGTTTGAGAGAAAAGCCCATAGTGAACCATCTTCAGGACTGCAGAAGAAATGATTCTAGTTTATACAGACCAACCTATCCTCCACTCACAGATCCAATGAGTAACCAGAAACTGCTGGGCACGTCAGAAAAACCAGCCTCTGACAGCACAAAGCCAAGGTGACTGAACGGGATGGTATACCAGAGAAGGAACAAAAGCCAAGGCGGAAACCCTACTCGTGTGACTACAGTCACTCTGTTCTCCTCTTCCCAAGAACAAGAAAGGAAAGGCACTGTACACGTGGAATAAAAACTAGCTATTATATCGATGATGATGATTTCATTTTTTTAAGACTCTCAAACCCACGGTGATCCTTTGGCCTCTGCCTCCAAAATGCCAGGATTACAGGTGTATACAACCACACTTTATATATATATATATATAATTTATTTTTTTTGTACCAGGAATCGAACTCATGACCTTGCGCCTGCCAGGCAGGTGCTGTGCCGCTGAGTGATATCCCCAGCCCTGTATTATATATTTTTAAAAGAGGAATAAGAAACATTTTGAAAGCCAAAAATATTACATTGAGTCAGAAGAGAATAATAAGCATTGGAAATATAAAATGAGCATGGTGAGTTGGAAGACAAAGCTGAGGATATTTCGCAAGATGCTGATAGAAAAGTGTCAGGACAATGTCAACAGACACGGAGGGAAGATGTAATGGTCCAACAT